ATCCAGAGCTCCTGCCATTCATGTGCGCACCGCTGCATGTCGCCCCGCAGCTCCCATTGTTTCAGCGGGAACAATAGTGGCACCCCCCCCCCCCCCCCCCCCCCCCCGCTCTATGCTGAGAGAAAGCGGTTTCCAAACGTCCCCCTGCATGGAGCCTGACGCAAGGCCCGCCACACTTTCCCTCTAACCCTTCCAATAAAGAGGGAAAATGTTGACAAAACGTTAACGATGTTAGTGCATGGGGCGCCTATCTTGCATCACGCGTCAACGTTGCATCATCACTGCAGCCGTCAAAGTGTAACAGAGAAACAGAACAACAGTAACAGTGAAACTGTGAGAAGACAAGGAGGCGAGAACTCCAAGAAAACAGCACGTTGACAACACCTGCAGGTTATTTCTAATGCTGGAATCAGGTGTATTAATAGTCTGGAGGTAAGCAGGCATTAGTGGGCTTTTGCCTCGGCTACAGGGTGAGTGAGGTTAGTCAGGTGACATCATACACGGGGCCCTGGATCCGATTGGACATTTGCCTGGCTGGGAGTCAATCACGGCAGCGAAGGGGATACAGAGAGCAGAGCAGCACTGACACTTGCTTCAGTCAATGGCTGCCACAGCGTTTAATAAGCAACATAAATACATTCTTTATGTTCACATGTGAAGGGAAGAGCTAAATAAATGTGCGAATAGAAATACAAATGTGAAGTTATGTCCAACAGCAAAACAAGGAGCAATGACCAATAGCACATTACAGAACAGAAACAACAATTTTGTTCTCTTATTCTTGCAGTAAAATACTGAAAATAGGCCATCGGTCTAACATAGACACCGAGATGCAGTCCGGCCTGATGTGTGAAACGCACTAATGGACCTCTCCAGACAAACGGCATTACACATGATACATGTGACCGGCTACACTCCTAACGTAGAGCTTCAGCAGATTATGGTTTAGTTATTGCTGAAAGTATAAAACTAGAACAGGCCCACTGTGTATTGTTACATTGAAAAGCATTTAACAGCTACAACATGCATGGATATACTAGAGTGGAGATATAACACAAAACTCTCCAGACATGTATGATTTTCCATAGAGGTGGTATATTTGTGTGAGTGAGCGCGCATTTGTATGTATAAAAGCGCGTGCACGTGAGGAGAGAGAGAGGGAGAGGTGGGGGAGAGAGAGAGATTTTATTGTAATGCTCAGAACGACCTGCCTTCTTTTGAAAAAAAACCAGAGAGCGCAGCCATGCTTTGCAGAGGCTCCAGCTCTTCTCTCAGTGCTGCTCTCAGCTCCTCACCGACCGGAGGGTCCGCTACACACCGACAGGACCCGGGAATACAAGCCTCCGGGATGCAAACACCTGCAGTCCAGTATTAGTGCTCATAGTGAGTTAAAGCAGAGCACGGATACATACAGGCAGTGATCAGTGTTCTGGGACCCACCATATGGCGTGGAGCAAACCATGGTGAGTATGTGCCTTATGCTCGACCCTTTGATCAATTATTAAGAGGATGAATATGTATCTTTACTTCAAACGTTAGTAGAATGTGTATTTTTGAATGATTAGAGGACAATGTTGATCATTTCTGCAGAGATGTACGCTCCCCCCTTCCACGATGCACTTGCCATTGTTATTGCGGGCTTTAGGGAATGAACCACTAAAGGGACAAAAAAGGCGAGAAAACATCGATAATCACGCGTGGTGTTTTTCATTTTGTGTGTCGACGGTTGCATAATCAGTAAAAAGGGTAAAGGGGACGGTGGGTTTCTGAGGAACATCGTTTGTTCGTTGCGCGGTGTTTATAAGGACAATAGGGGTCGTGGTGCTGTCGGTGTCCAGATCCAGAGAGAGACCCGAGACATGGTGCTGTGCTGAGCCGAAGAGAAGCTCCGAAACATGGGCAGATATAAGAGAGTCGGTGGGTTTTCAGGGGATGGGGGACGTTTCCGTCTAAAATGGCGTTTCCCTTTGTTTCTGCATCCCTCTCCTCTCTGTTATAGCGAGTGGGTAATGCATTGCAATTACCATATCTGCGAGCCTGCGCCTCTTCGTGCTCTCCGCACTGCTTTAACACCAGCGGATTGTGCTCTTTAATGGAGAAACTGTCAGAACTGGTCTCAGTGTATGCTGAGCTCAGAGGATCAGGATCAGGCAGGATAGCAGGTGCACTGTGGGACTCCTAATGATGATCACAGCACTGACTTCACGCAATTTCAGCAGTTTTTAACCAATATGCAAATACATAGGCTCTGTCTGCATCGCTGCAGATTATAATGGATTAAATATGGATCTCAGCCTACATAAAATAATCTAATAAAGTAATTTCCAAGCATAACACGTACCACACGTCTCCGTTAAAATACTGTTAGTGTCTATTTTACATCTTATTCCAGCAACCAAAAATCAGCTCATTAAATCGAGTTGAATACAGTAAACCAAACTGCACTCCCATCAAACAGCAGCATCCCTCCCTCATCCCTGTGTGTGTGCACGGAAAGGAGTGCATGTGCGCATGCCCGTGCCTGTAGTTAGTGTGTGCTCGTGCAGGCTACGTACACGCGTGTTCTCTTTTTTTTTTTCGAATAGTGCAATGTTGCATAACCGATCACAGCCAACGCCAGATTTAGGGCTTCACAATTTGGAGCCATTGTTGGCATTTCCTCTGCCGGCCCGTACACACACACAAACACACACAACTGCAGAACTATTAACACATTTTGGCGATAATACTCCAAATAGGAAGTCGTCAATTTCCCTCCTAGTTTCAAGGGCACCGGGTAGTCATGAGGAGGACGCTGGGTAATATAGAGGAACATCTGTTTGCCCGGTGACGTCAGCACCCCCCTCCTATAACCCCCCCTCCTATGACCCCCCCTCATCCCAATCCTCTTGTGCTGAAGGCAGATGCCTCATTTGTTTGGCTGGAGCACCATTAATCCCAAAGTCAGAGGGAAAGACGGGACGGAGAGGGATCAGTCCCATTAGTCGGTGCTGCCTTCAGTTGGGACGCACACACACACATACACACACTTTACCAGTGTGTTCAGGACAACTGCAGTTACCTCTTCAGCTGCCCCGTTTGCGATTTGCGGCAGAACAGCAAGTAGAGGCTGCAGGCGTGTGTGTGTGGGAGAAAGAAATGCGTGTGCGACTATAGGAAAATCAATATTATAGACGTGGACTATTTTCGGTTTTATGGACGCCATCTGACAGGTCAAAGTGGAATATGAGATTTGATCACCTGCAATTCTTAACGAAGTTCATGACGCATTTTGTGTTTTCTTTTATTTTGTAGGTGCATTATGGGATAATGGAGGACTTTTACGCTTTTGGACGAAGCACTCGACGGAAATAGCATCAAGCAGGAGTCATTTCCCTCGGCCTGGGACGTATCGTTATTTTGCAAAACTACCCATGGTTTTGCGTTTAAGTCATTCCTGTAAGATAACCTCTTGTTGAATTGATTTTTTTTACATATTACGGTAGGCCTGCACAACACCGGGACAGGATTTAATCTCTTTGGACCCGCACTTGGGATTTTTCTTTATTCCAATTTTCGGCCAAACTTGTCATACAGTTCTTAGCCATACAACAAGAGCCTCAAATGCTTCAGAATTATTTGAATATTTGTATAATAATGCCACGTTTTACGGAAAAATATTCTGGCCGTTTCCAAAGTGAATGCAACTGGACACACACTCATGCATGCAAACACATCACTCAGACGAGCGGGTTGTGTCTCTCCGTGTTCACAGCGGACCTTGATTTAATGTCTTACAATTAAGGCACGCGGTGAATGCCAAGAGATGAGCCTCCTTTCTTCGGATGTCTGATTTTTTTTCTGAAAGCCATTCACAGTGTATTTGCTTCTGTAACGCATTGCTCATGTACTGTACCCTTCCCCTCTTTCTTCCATCAATAAAGTAAATATACACAACAATTTTAAAGCTCTGTTTTTTTATGTGAACCTACTTGATGTGGCACCAGTGTGTCGGAGCTGTCCATCCACAGGAGCGCTGTCCACAATGCGTGGTGCTGAAAGCTGCGCACCGCCGAACAGCCTTTTGTTTCATGGCTCAAATATTTCACTGTAGTACAGGAATGCAGCCCGGAACCGGCGAGATACAAACTGCAAATACACACACAGGCGAAGATAGGGGACGTCAGAAAAATCGTAACATAGAGATATTCAAGACAGAATCTATAGAAGGTGACAGGTTGCTTTCGATGTCAAATTATACATACAGCATTTACATTAAAATCCGATTAATGACATTTAGTGTAGCCTATTTCTGGAGAATTGTTGAGCAGATCTGACACAAGTGAACATCTTGTTCCAGCGACACATAGAGGGAAATCTACTCGTTGAAATTAGAATTTTCGCAGTGAAGCATGGTGCAGTTTCGCCATCCTGCAATAACCTAAAAAGGCCTTGAGTGACAGGTTATTACACTGAGATTAATTCGAGGTGCATATTAACTCCCATAAGCACTCTGGGATGCAAAGTATGGCGGTGAGGTGGGCGAGGGACTTCTGCATATATGAAGTGAGATGTCCGAATCAATTGATATTAAGAGGTTGGAAAATGTTAACCAACAAACATTTTGACAGATAGCTGAAAGAGTCTTATGCACCATCATCCTCTTATTTTAGTGCGTCTCCTAGTGGCGTTTAAGGGCACTGCACTATCACATGAAACTACGATAAATGCTAAGACTTTTGCAGACATAAGCATTTGATTTGACACACGACAGAAACACATATGGAGGTACACTGTACGCAAGCAAAACTATTGTTTTTTTTAAAGCGTTGCATTTCCATGTCACATTTTGACAGATAATCAGATGTTGATGAATGCATATCATCGCAGAGAATGGCGGAAGGAGTGATGGATGGAAGAAGGGCCAGGTGGGGGGAGAAGGGGGGTTATCCAATCATTTCACCAACCCATTAATGTTGATTTCCTTTAATCCTCCAAATAAGCAATGAGTGGTGAAAACAATCAACGCTACAGAGAGTAGAGGAGAGAGTTCGTCTATTTTCTAACAATAATGAAATGCAGAGACATTCACTGCCAGTGAAAAAAGTAGTGCAAAAGAACATTAACAAGTGCTAAAATAACCTGAGTGAGTGAAGGAGGGACACTGATCCACAATCAGCTGTTTGAGGATTCAGCTCCGATATGTCGCAGGTGAGCAGGGGAATCATGTCATGCATATGGCTCAGAGCTGGGTGTGGATGTAGAGCACCACAGGACCAAATTGGAATTTCATATCAGGACTGTACAGCCTCAGAGTCTGGCATCCACTGATAACCAAAATCTTCAAAGTTGAAAGGAATCCACCAGGCTGCCGTACAGCATGTTCAGCGGCTCCTGCGTCACCCTCTGCTGCTCCTTCACACTCTGCTGCTGCATTAGAAAGTAGAGCCTGCCCTCTGGTGGTGAGAAGTGGAATTACTCTTTGGATGCACAAGAGATTATTTTTGAAAAGGCAATTTTAATTAACGTTTGTATTTATTACACTGTGATTGAGAATAACCCACCGGATTTTAAATGCAAATTAAATGAATTATTTAATATTTTGTAATACTTTAATATGTCATGCATGGTAAGATGAAAAAAGACACAAAACTCAAAAGATCAAAGATATAAAACTACCATATATTTACTTAACGTAAAACTTCTTACCTTCAAAATAGGAATTTATTTCGTATTCCTTCTTTAATATTACCCCCTTATTACATTTCAAAAAATACAAATCATTTATTTGTATTATTTTATTATACATGTTTTATTATTTATTAAATAATTGTATGTTTGTATTTGTTTTTCCCTTATACTCACAGTCATACACATTTATACGCATGCATTATTTAACAGATTTCCCCTTAAACACTCGGTTATTTAATTCTCAGTAACTGCTAAATATTTATAATTAATTTCCTCAACATTTTCTTTTGGTTTGCTATGTCATAAATACAGTATGCATGTTTACATATATACATGTATCAGGTAACTCTGTTTGTCCTTGGGTGTTCTTGTCATTGTTGTACCAGACTGTTTTCTTTTGCAATAATAAAAACAAACCAGAAAAATCTCAAAGGTCACTCTCAGATTTTGCAGATCCCGGCCAGGCCAAATATCCTATGTTGCGATACGAAAGTGAAAAATAATGCGTTTATCTGCTTTGTGATTTGTATCCGCTTAAATATATAATGGGATTTCCACGGTACAGCCACCAAGTTTCATGAAAATCATACCAGTAGTTTGCCTGTAATCCTGCAGACAAACTAAAACAACAAACCAAAGTGACCACATGACCTTGTGGTAAAAATAACAACCCTTTAGCTCAGGTAGAGAATCAATCCTGATTTCTGTGTGGAAGTTTCTTTAATGGTTTGAGCACTTCCTGTCATGCTCCTGCGTCTAAACTTCCCTTTCCTCCGGATTTAAATGGATGCTTGTTCTCTTTCCTAACACAGTTTTACCTTCAGTGCTCTCTTCATTACCAAAGTGCTGACAGACTGTGGCTGTAATGGTTGTGCCACGGTCCTGGCCCATCTTGTCTCATTAGCCGGACCCGATTGGCCATGAAGGTGTTCTCTTGCTGTCTCAGGATAAAGCGACTGTCTCTGCCACTCGTTAGATCATAACTCCTCCAGTATCCTGCCCCCACGGCCTCTCATGGAGCCTCAGCCCGGAGACGGAACATACGCTAATTGAAATGTGCTGGAAAAAGCTGAAAAACATTGACCTTGAATGTAATGTTAATGCAGCTGCAAAGAACTTTCCTGACATGAACACTGAGACCCAGCACAGGGGGAACATATAACAGAAATTCAGCATAAAACAAGTTTCTCTGCTTGGTTAGATTTTAAATAAACACGTGTCTAAAGATTAGACTGGAACAGCTACCTATCTTTACTCAAGTAAAGATAGTGTCCCCACACCGGGGACACATGTTTATGTATAAAAGACATAAAAAAGTGCATTTTGCATGATAGGTCCCCTTTAAAGTATTTTTTTAAAGCTAATACTTTTTTACTTCTACTTAAGTAACATTTTGAATGCAGGCCTATTACTTATAACTGAGTATTTTTACACTTTAATTAAAGGTGGGGTAGGTAATTTTGGAGAAACCAGCTCGAGTGCGCTAGAATTTGAAAATACACAGCCGGAAAAAACCTGCCACTTCCTTACAGAGCCCCTCCTCCAACACACACGAACGCGCACATGACCAATGAGGGCACGAGATAAGTTTGTGCACAGATGGAAGGCTGACAGGCAGGTAGGCCATCCAGTTGTTTTAGCCGGGCCAGCTAAAATGATTGGTCGTGCTTTTTACAGTACTACGGCTTCCACAGATGACATTTTTTTATGGATTTTTTGTCAAAGCACTTCAGATATTCATTGCTATCGGGATGTTAAGAGCATTCCATGGAATATAACAAAAAGTGTATCTCGAGCCGGTTTCTCAAACTTACCTACCCCACCTTTAAGTTAATAATCTTCCTCCACCTCTGTAAAGAAGTCTACAAACTGAGTTAATTCCTCAGCTTTATACAATGAAAATATCTCAAATATTTTCTTCCGTGTCCCTCTCACGGTATTAAATAACGAGTGGATTTTTGAACAGAACTTGTCTTGTGACGTACTGAAGGAGCAGACCTCTCTACAAAGATCCATTCAAACTAAATCTGTAGCTGCCAAGGTTTTTTATCAGAGGGTGAAGGAATCCACTCCATATCCCCTGTGGTTTCAATCGGCAGGGGTCACCTGTAATCACTGCTAAAGGTAGCTTACATATGGGCAGCACACTGGCATGGTAACTAGGTAACTTGGAAGTGGAGGGAGGTTTTTGTCCTGAAGGCATTGCAGCATGTTTCTACAAAAGGCTTCCAGGGGGGGGGTAATTACTGAACAGGCTTTTTGTGAAAGAGGTGAAGAAGAATGTGTTGCAAGCAGTAAGAGAGTGGGTCATAATGAATCTCAGTGAGCTGTGGGGTCACCTGGGCTACGGTGGACTTTGAGATACCTGTGGAGTTGGTGTACGACGTCTAATAAGAGGAAAGGGTCTCTGCATGTTCAGCACCGGACAGCTCCCACAGCAATGGTTGAGGTAAACATCTATGAACCAAAGACAAAAAGAAAATTACAAACTGTATGCCCCTAGTTTGCACAACACTTATTTACAGTTGCTTTACTATTTCAAATGGAACAAGTAGATGGCATTTTTACAATTTACCAGATAAATATTAGGGATTTTCTTTAGCCCTCACATGATGGTGTGCCAAAGGGTAGAGAGCTGGACAAAGCTTAGTTGATGCTGAGTACATTTTCCCTTGTTGGTGTACTGCACCACTCAACCCAGTAGATGGCAGTATGACCTCAGGTAAATGTTGGTCAGGGAAAACCAAGAGACGTTCTGCACTGCAAGAATATCCGTGTTGGTTTTGGGAGATTTAGAATACAAAGCAGGGGAAATGAAATGTGCTGGTTGGGGTTTTCATAAGGATGATGTGGTCTGAAGTCTGCTAAAGAGTGTCATGTCAAGTTCGGTAACTATATGCTTGGTCTCTCTTTGAATTCAAGTGGAGGTTTGATGCCACATAAGAAAAGAGAAGCTAACCAAATAGTGATAAAAGTAATGAAAACAACACTAGTCTATTGGCTTTGAATCCTATAGACTTCTACAAAAGGGATTGACTAAAAGTACAACTTCTCACACAAAAGAAGGTCCATGAAGAATATCCCCTTTTATGATCAGACTCTCTTCTAAAAACACAGTTGCTAAATGACTTGTAAACACACACTTGAAGGGAATGATAGAGCACACGCGGTATTGTTTGCCATGTTTAAATGCCATTAATTAAAACGTTAACCTGATTGGGTGAGGAGTGAGAGGGGTGAGGGGGGTCTCTATCCCAATAGGCGAATCCTTTTTAATAACCCGCCTCGAGATAATGATGTAAAAAGACTCAGGCGTCTCGTGCGTAACGAGGATCATCGCGGAGATCCTGTGAAGGTGAATGAGAGAGAGAGAGAGAGAGAGAGAGAGAGAGAAGAGAGAGGAGAGAGAGATGAGAGAGAGAGCTAAGAGAGAGAGAGAGATAGAGAGCGAGAGAGAGAGCGAGAGAGAGCATCCGAGAGAGAGAGAGCTAGATCGGATGAGAGATAGAGAGATAGAGAGAGAGAGATGAGCGGGATATGAAGAAGAGTGAGAGAGTGAGAGAGAGAGGGAGTGAGAGAGAGAGTCAGAGAGGCACTTATTACTTGAGTCTCCTCCTCGTCTCCACACCTCAGCTGACAAGTCGAGCAAGCCTGCAACTTCTCCTCTGACACACAACTAAACTAAAGCAGGAAGAACACAGGGCGAAACTCATAGAGGCGCGCGCAGAGTTCCCAGAAGAGACCGTTGCCCGCACGAGCAAGAGCCCATGGAGAGGATGAACTTGAACGGAGGCGCGGGGGACATTTTTCACAAAACTCTCAGCGCTGTGTCCACTAAGAAAACGGACCCCTTCCGGTCGTCGGCTGGCATTGAACTCGCAGCCAGAGACCGCCAGTCACCGATCAGCTGCTTTGACCAGACCGAGCAAGACTCCATCCAGCCGGGAGGACTTGCAGGAGGCAGAGGGGGTCCACTGGGTCTGCCCACCGGATCTTTGTGCGTCAATTTCGGTGAGAGCGCCAACAGGACCTCTGCGGCGGAGAGCAGCGGCGGGGACGAGGACGATGACAGCGATGAGAGGTGCGAAATGATCCTTCTGACTGACGGGAGGAGCGTGCCCATTGGGAAACCAGGAGGTAAGAAAAACAAAGAGCAGAAAACACTGAGGCTAAACATCAACGCCAGAGAGAGGCGGAGGATGCACGACCTGAACGACGCGCTGGATGAGCTCAGAGGGGTCATCCCTTACGCGCACAGCCCCTCGGTGAGGAAACTCTCCAAAATTGCCACTTTGCTGCTCGCCAAAAACTACATCCTCATGCAGGCGCAGGCACTGGAGGAGATGAGGCGGCTGGTGGCGTATCTGAACCAGGGTCAAGCCATCTCTGCCGCCTCGATACCGGCCACCACCGCCCTCGCAGCTCCCGGGTTGGGCGCGTACGAGCAGCCGCCTGGATATCCCTTCCCACCCGGGGTGGCTTCAGCGTCCTGCCCACATAAATGTGCCCTATTCAACAACGCCACCGCCAGCCTCTGCAAACAGTGCACTGACAAGCCTTAAGACTCCACAGACGCACAGGGGAGAGTTTGAAGAACACTTTGGGAGACCTGTGTTGTTGATAGGCTAGAGACGAAGAAGTAATGCCGATGAATACTTTTATAATATTTACTAAATGCATTCAAAACGCGCTTTTTTGTTCAAACAATACTTGATTGTGTATATAAATCATCCTTTAAGTGCTGGTATGAATGACAGTGAAGACCAAACGCGAGGCCTGTGCGTGTGGCTGTGGTTCAGTGAGTTGTTTATCACGTGGACCTTTTTTTCCCTGGAGATTTGGGTGACCTGACAACCTGCGACTTTTTAAAAACATGGACACCTTCCTGGAGCGTTAGTCCAACCTCACTGCTGCTTCCTTATTTATTGATTTTTGCGAGTTTTTATTTCCCTCACCTCAGAGACATTTGCTTTCTGGTTCGAGGCCTGTTGTCATGAACTTTTCTATTGAACACGTGGAATGTCATGAACAAGGAGATGAAATAGATGCTGGTTTCAGATATTTATGTGCTAACCCGGACACTTGTTAATAGATGCGCACGCCTATTACAATTCTTTAATGGGGCACTGTGATATAATACTATTCAAGAAACATTTAGAAACCTTCAAGAATCAAGCTGTTTCGGTGTGTCTTTTTGTAATTTATTAATTTGGATATTGATATTGGATATTCTGCCTGCATTGCACATTGTAGTCTCTTTCTGAGTTGTTGTATTTTTTTTTTACACAATATGATCGAGGTCTTCAGATGAATCGCGTTGTCAGGTCAAGATGTGGATTATTGTAGATACTTTAGTTATTATATGGGCGAAGAGGGCCATTTGTATGTATTTCAGTGTTGAAAAGCTTTATTAAAATATTTTGAACAACATAAATACTTCTGCTCCTTCATCTGGTGTCAAACGTAGTGTCAGTGAATGCTGCGTTTTTAGAATTAATCATGTTTTAAAAATTGCAAAACATTTTTATTATAGTGCCTATTATGACATTAGACCACCCGTTTCTGAGTGATCTCATTTCTCCGACTCTCACGACGTGTCAAGTACACTGAGAAACAATTGGTCAATCATTTTCTGCTCCATCAAAACCGATAACTTTTATTTTCTTGAGCTGAAAGTGACGCCAAGTCTTGGGAGCGAAGGCCAGACGTGTAGGCTGAACATCGCCTCAAGGCAGAACAAAAAACAGCTCTCATGCTCCTGGAAACAAAAACAAAAACTCTGTCCACCTTTATTGCTTTTATTAAAACAATTACCGTGACGGTGTGTGATAATACGTTAATTCGAAAACAAGTGTGTATGAAAACTGTCGACTGTAATACCTGCCTTCACGCAATGAAACACATCGTTAAGGCAATTAGACCTCCAGAATGTGATTAAGGAATGTAATTACGACACTGCTCATTGCCGTAATTTGGTGTCTTTAATCACCACGCAGCCATCAGCTGACTCCCATACACTCACCCTTTGTCCTCCTCGGTCGTCTGTCCACACCAGGAGATTCTGATGAGACAAAATATCGTGAAATGTAAAGACATTATTTAAAATCCTAAAATCTTAAGTCTTTCTACTAAGATATTAATCTCCAAAATGCAGACAGGAAGTGAAGATGGATCAAATGAGAAGACTGCGTTTAGGCCACACACTTTTTCCAATTACGCACGAAATCAAGGGGAAGAAATACAGTTATTACGAAATGAAGCAACAATTTTACTGATGATTAAGTTACTTAAACTTAATTGTTGTCACATACAGTAAGGCCATTAAAGACTTCAGTACCATGGACAGAGGCAACTGATGTTAAATGCAACATACTGAGATTTTCTTTCTCACTAGATGAATTAGTGTACTGCCATTTCTTTTTTATTGTGGATTTTCAACAATTAAGCATTTCCTGTCAGACTATCGGCTTTGATTAAATTGTTAGATTGACCTGCAGAGATTTACAGCTCTAAATGCAACAACTATAATCTTAAATTCAACACCGTGCAGACGTTAAAAAATATATGCAAGTAGACAACAGACATCTTCACAATCCATTGTAAATGTCAATATTAAAACATTTTCAAGGCAAAATGATTACCTGCTAATATATCCCAAACAATCCTTGGTTCAATGTGAAAAATGTAAAATTAAATACTCACTTCAAATCAAATAAATTCAACAAAATACCCAAATATAGATCTATTGCCTCACAATGTCTTTTAGATGACAGATTAAAAAAAGAAAAAACATAAAATAACTAAAGATAAGATTAAAAAAATAAGATTGTTCTTATAATTGAAATGATAAATGAGTTTCTTTTCTTTAAACATGAGAACAACAGTGACATTGTGTGTGTGTTTTTCCTCCGCTCTCCGACACAGCTTTGTGTCTGTATGATGAGCCCCTCCGACAACAGGGTCATTACAGTGTCCCCTTTAATCCCATCACACTCCTGAATGCCTTGAATCCTCACACAACGCCTCTTAATCAAGAAGGGAAATGATCAGGAGACATCAAAACAGCTCATGCAGAAAATCCTGCAGCAGCTCCTCACGTTTTAGGACTGGTATTTGTAAGTTTCGACACAGGAATGGATGCTTTTCCTCCACTGCTGTTTGCTAAGAGACTTGAGCAAAAGACATTAATTATGCAACATGCATTAATGCACAAATGACTGGAGCATTTAACCCATACTAATATTCACATTAGCCCAGAGGAGGAGATTCCCTAGGGGTGAGACAGAGCCACATGCACGTGGAAAACAGACAACACAAAAAAATATCAAAGGCAGAAATGTACGACTATTTACTACTAAACCATGATTTAAGTGACGTTCAAAATGGAAAGCCATAATTTCCCTCTTGATGTGGGAACTGCTCGACACTCGGTGGTGTTTGAGCCATCGCTACAAGCTGGGGAAATGTCACGCGCACACACACACACACACACGAGGGGCTCTGAAATGTTATGTGTGTGTGTGTTGGACTGACACTCACAAGTTTTTCCTCAGTGGCCACAGCCAGTGGCCATAATAGGCAACATCGATTTTTATTCATGAGTCTAATAAAGCTGAATCTTTCTTAGAGGCATTTACAGCGAGATTCAGGGCTCATGAATAAAAGTGGAAGATAAAAAAAAAACACCCCTTTTCATAAACCATAAAACGTCCAATTTACCATATCAAGGGCCAGCAGGGTGCCTATTCATAACGCGGATGTGATGTCTGCTAAGGATGATAAACACGAAAGTCAAAATATACATAAGAGCGTTGAATTGAAATGTCCCCTTCATATCAGTAACAGGCTAAACTCTGGCAATGGATTCATCCACGCTGTGTCATATTGTGTGTTTAAAAGATATATGTGGCGAGCAGGCCGAGGCTCCAAATCAACTGTGGGCGGTAATTCACTTTTGTCAGGCTGCTGATAGAAATGCAGAGTGTTGTCTTTGTGTTGTGCACGATGCAGGATATATAATACAAGTGTGAGACTAAAAGAGGTCAATTCTGATATGTTAAGTATAGCTTGTTGTCCGAGTGTTTCTCTTTCATTATGAGCCATCGAGGTCCAGCAGTTTGTAACATTTTAGATGGATTTTCCAAAATGTGATATGACACTTCTTTAGATTTCAACTGTGTGGTTTTATTTTATTCCCACTACATAGAAGAATATAGCTTTTTTAGATACCTCAATATCCAATATCAACTACTGTCCGAGTTGCATAATTCCTATTTTTTTTTTTTAAGATGATCAGGAAATGGATTTAGAGTTGTGTATAACAGAGCAGCAAGGAGAAGAGTTTCCAGCGTCAATGTTCACTACACAGCATAATGCAGATTAAGACAATAAATTCAGACATTTCATTCAAGTTCATTTTGTTAAAATGATATCCAAAAAGAACATTACTTTTTGCATTATCGTAAATTATCAATCGGAGATCTATTTTAAAAACTCCGTCTGATATATTTTGACGAACGATACGACTCGATGTCAGTCACAAAAAGACATGTCACAATACATGACGGCAAACTGTGAACAAAAAGAATTGTATTGATACTTACCACCCACAAGTAGTGCTCTGTTTGGGTAAAGTGATGAGGCACTCTCTGATACAAAAATATAAAACAATGAAATATGGTAGACTTTTCTGAATTCAGCCACTTTAACTAAGTGTAGGGTTATTGTTGATCATTGTTATCTTTAGATTAAAACACATGCCAGTGCACTGTACATACTGTGTGGATCATTAAAGCAGATTATTTAGGAAGTTCTTTTAACTAATCTAGAGTTCATTCAGGCCAATTTTCTTTCAATTCTAACAACGCTAAAATACATATCCATACATTTCTGACTATGTTTTGGCTTTTGACGTTGAGGGGAATGTTGTTTTCTCGGAGGCAGCCTGGAGGTCAGGTAAACATATGGTGCCGTGTTTAGCTCTGGAAGCTCTAACAGGGCGAAATAAATGACGTGGTAATGTGTGATTATCCTCTCATCTGGAATACAATTGTTCAGTAACATCTCTAATATTCCAACTGCCTCCATATTAATCAGATTAAAGTCCCAATCCCCTAATCCCTGTTTACCGATGGCTCCGTCTTTGTGCCGTAATCTGATGTTCTTTTATTTCGGCGGGGATTAAAGCGTGTCATGGCAGAGCGCAGTAATTTGTGCTGTTGTTTTGAACAGAACGGGCTCTGGCGCTGTACAGATTTTCTCCAGAACAACAATTTACTCTGGATTTGGGGAAACAAAAACAGGTGCATTTAAATTAAGTCCCTACATTCTGCAAACATTTGGAAATCAGTTTTACGAGTGCTGTCGGGAGACAATTCATTTGGTTTTGTTGACATTTTATGGTGCTCTTGCTTAAAGAAGTCTGATGTTTGTTTTTTTTACACGGTTCCTTAAAATTGGATTTTGGCAAATTGAAATGTCGCAAAAAAATGTCAAGTTGTTTTTCCAACAGACTTGTAGTGTATTAAAGTGTTCACACAATGGTTATGTTGTAGAGGCTCCTCAGACAGCTGTGAACTTTCCATTTCTGTGACCTTAACATTAGGATCATGTGCCGCTGTTTGATGTACAGTGACCCTGCAACCTCATGTGAACTGGCAAACACAACATGATACATTCACGACACTGCGAGACAATAATCTTTAAAAAGGTAATGCACGTCATGGATTTGACTCAGGTTTAAGTCTGTGTGTGCAGTCGTGTGTGTGTTCTGGTGTGAGAGTGACAGGGATCACTTGTCCTGATCAATATGCAGCTCCTGACCCGCTCAGGTTCATTAAAGCGAAGGCGAGGTGGATTCCATCTCCACTCTCTGATATTCATTAACTCTGGCTCCCAGATTGAAATAAAGACATGATGATGACACAATAACAGTGTGAATCGCTCACTGCTCATTTCATATACACACACACACACTCTTTCTTTTTGTTTCCCTCACACACACACACTCACACGGATCACAAGACAGATCGGCGAGTTGCGGTTGAAGCTATAAAGAAGCCGGTGTCTAATACCGCCTGAGTTGTGTGTTCTGATACCGACAGCTACTTGTTTACGTGTTATTCATTTCCTGATTGTTGGGACAGGTTTCTGATTAAAGTGTAATCTGAAGATTAAGGTGCACTACAGCCAAGGTTAACTGTATGTAAACAAAGGCATCAAAAAAAGAGATGAAAACAATCCAAACACTGCCTGCTTTTGAGGTCATTTACCGACTTATAATCAATCCCGTTCTCTCCAGGAATTTTATAATTATAGAGTTGGTTTCAGTGTAAAAATGTGGAAGCAGACGACGTGCTTCCCTCGGCTGAGAGTCTGTCATGTTACTAGAGCATGAAAGCGCGGCCGTTAGTGTAACACTTGCTTGGCTGATCTTCCTGATGTGCTGAGTGCTACTCCAGGCTTCAGTGTATCTGTCTGAGCAGAGGTCTTTAACAGCCATGAATGCCAAGCATGGGGGAGGCAGGCCAGGCCAAGCGTAACCACGGCAGCCCAATGTCCTTGGCTCCTCGGCGGCCTTCACCTCACACTCCCTGCACAGTGAATTTTATGGCTAATTTCCGGCAATTTATCCTGGCACTTTCAGAAGAGAGATTCCTGCGGGAATAATGTGCATAATTTGCATAAATCATCCTGATAGAATGCATATCAGCATGTAACCCCAACCCCCCCCCACACCACACCACACACACCCTCCAACCCCCCCCCACCCACCCCTGTCTGATGCTGCAGCGTTTACTTTGTAATCAAAACTGACTCTTTTCCAACCGGCGGATGCACGAGAGCCATGAGAAGGGGGTCGGAGTTTAGGCGGGTAATTACAAGGAAGTGACACACACACACGCGCGCACACACACACACACACGCACACACACACACACACACGCACACACACACGCATGCACAGAAAGCTACAGCAATACAAATAAATATACTGTAGATTCAGCCTCACAATATAAAAGAAAAGTTTATATATCCGGACTTAACTGTTTTAAAGTGTAA